ACTAGCTAAGTAAATGCTGATCATCCTGCTTAGAGACTTGAATTAAAAAGCTTTGCCAATCAGCCTTGATTGATAGAAAAAGGACAGGGCATTAGGATCAGTCATGCGGCTTTAGAAGGCAAGACCTCCACTTCAATCTTTTCATTTCCCAGTTTATCAAACCTAGGAACAGACCTATACCACTAACGGCAGAATATTTACACAATGCTTTTGCCAGTGAGAAAAGACAAATCTACATATTAGAGTCCATCTAGGAGCTAAATCCTGTGCTAGAGAGAGCTGTCGCTCTGCTGGGATCAATAAGCCCGTTGGCCTTCACTCAGTGCCTTGGCTCCGAGAGAGCTCCTGGAATCAGATCTGATTATTGTGATATATTGGTGTGATTTTGCCTGTGCTCATCTGAGAGGCTGGGATCAGATTGCATGGAAGAGCACTAAGAGAAAGAAAAAAATAGAAGTAAAAAAATACCCTGAACAAAGACATTAGAGGTAAAAGAAAGCCATTTGGAAAAATGAAGCTGGCAGCATGACCAGGAAGATGCAGCAGATGAGAACATTGGGTACAAAGCTGGTACCTGCCTTGGCCATCTCCTGCACATTGCTCTGGCTCTGGGCAGCCCAAAAGCTGCTCAGCATGATGGCTGCTGCTGCAGCTGGGACAGCCTCCACCCTTCCAAAATCAGCTGTTTGGGGATGCAAAGGGTCAAGGCTGCTTTGGAGGGCCAGTGTGAGTCTGTGCAACTTTCATACTCACCCTGCACCAGTCTAACCCTGTTCCTTTTTTTGTCCTGGGAGCCTGTTGCAAACACCCCTCCCTGCTCTTTACAGATATTTCATAAATATGGGGTTTTCTGAAGCACTTCCATGACTGAGCAAAAACCTTGAATGTGATTTCAGCTGCGTTGCCCTGATGCTTGTCTCCCAGTAATCCTGACCACAATAGGAAGAGATGGGACAGATCCTGATGCCAGTCTCAAAGATGAAGATGATGTGTTGTCGATGTCCCCCTCCCTCTTCTGTCACCTCTGGAAGGTCCCAGCTCTGGTGGCTGCATTTAGTCCCCACCAGGCCTGGGGCTCCCCTGTGCTGCCGACACCCTGCTAACCTGCCATAGCAGGAACAACTGGGCTGCAAACCTGCCCTGGTGCTCTGCACATGATTGATAGCAGGACAGAGTGTAGGGGCTGGCAGAGTGGATTAGCAGCTGATGGATTGCTGTAACTCAAGCCTTCACATCCCTGCTGCACCAGGGTCAGCAGCACTTGGGCTGCAGTACAAACCCAGCCAGGCCAGCGAGCTTCTGTTGAAAGTCTGCTGAAGCTGGGGATCTGTGGAGCAGCAAACCCCAAGTTCTGTCTCTAGGGAGACCCATGGGGAGTGCTGAAGTCCTTACAAAGCCCCTCGCTTTCACAGTGAATAGAAAAGAAGCACTAATGATAGCATGACATGGGCTTGCAATACCTCTGGGTTTGTTTTCCTGATCTAATTGCAAAAGGAGGACCCCAAAAGCCCAGGGTGGGAGTGGGGGGAGCCTGAAGGGCCAAACGAAGGAGGTTACAGGAGGAGTGGAGTGGGTTATCAGTGTGAGTGCATTCCTGCGGGGCCAGGTGGGCCGGCAGCCGGGGCCCCTTCCACAAAGCCCGGGGAGCTGTTTGCACAGCGCCCGCCATTGGTCCCAAGAACATTTCTTAAATTGTTTCTCGCACTCTCAAGTGCGTGACTGTGCCTTGTCCAGTTACTTTAGCGATTGCTGCACGAGCAAGTGTTACCCAAACACCCCCTCCCCAGAAGCCAGGGCAGGGCCACTGGAGGGACCCACATGATGGGCAGGAGTCAGAGGCTCAGGCGCACTGGAAGCCCCATTAGTGACTCTGGTCCCCAAACCCATCCCTATCCCCAGGCTCACAGGAGCAGCTGGAGCAGCTGCAGCTCTGGAGGGGACCAACAGGCTGAGGCACAGCAATTCTCATGGCCCCAGCCCCTGCCTTGCAGCTCCAGGGGAGACTTTGGAGGTAGTGGCTGAGTTGTGCCATTCATAGGGCACAGAACCCATTTGTGCCCACCATCACCTGTTGAGGACTTCGGAAAAGGCTGGGTATGGGGCCAGTTCTATGCCAGATACCCTAAGGCACTGGATCAAGGCTCATCAGAAATGTTTCCATTGCACCTAGAGCCAGGTGGGATGTTGTACTCCTATGCTTATTTGTCAGGGGTATTGATGAATTGCTCTTTTTTTTTTTTTTTCTAAGCACCTCTCCACAAGTCCAAAGGAACAGGGTTAAAACTAGGCTGGGCTTACAGTGGGGTGGACATGCCCTCGGATGGCATTGTTTGGAGGGGTCAGGCTCTCCACACAGCTGGCTTTGATCCCTCCCCCCACACACACACTGCTCAGGGCTCACACAGCACCTGGTCCATGCCCAGTCGGTCGGATGTGGCCGAGCCCAGGCTGGCTCCCAGCTGCCACAGGCATGTTTATAGCCAGCACAGCAACATTTTGCTCTTGCAAAATTATCAAATCATATTTATCTCACTATTGAATGCTCTACCTATCACACCCATACCCTGAGAACTGGCCCACAGGTGGGCACAAGAGGAGCCCAGGGATCTTTCTGTTAACGATTCTGGGGCATGATGGCAGCCATTAATAATGACAGGTGACAGCCATTCCCCCATTGCCTATTTCCAGCCCATTTTCATCATAACCAAGTGTCCAAAAGGGGTTTCTCAGAGCACTACTGCTTTTGAATGCTTTATTAGAGACCAAAGCCAGCACAGGATATTGAGCACGTCAGTAGCAGAGCAATACAGTGCATGGTTGTTGGGGTTTAATATGTATCTGATCATATTTCCAATTATGAGAACTGCACTGAAGCCAGTCCTGAGGCCAGAGAGCCCCAAGAACCACAAATCTGGGCCATTTAGCTGCTATGAATTCTTCCTCTCTTCCCTCATGATTCATCTCAAGAGCATTTAAAGTCCTTGTAAAAATGCCTTCCCAATTAAAGAGTGAGACTGGCTCTGAAGGACTAGACTAATTGAGGAGTACCTTTGCAGCAGCGCAGGATTTGTATGAGCATCCCTTTTTTTCATTTCTATCATGCAAAATCCTGTGTGAAGCAGTGGGAGTGAAAACTCCTGGTGAAAACATGCTCCAAAGTCCATCATGCCCTTCCTTAAATTAAATTCAAGCATGGACTGGGGATGGGGGGTTTGGAGTTCCACCTCAGTGCTGTGCTGTGTGAGATGTAGCATCCCAAAGCAGAGCAAGCAAAATCCTTTTTTTTTGGAGAGGCTGAGCCCAAACAGGGGCTCGATTGCAAATCACTGGTACCTGCTGGCAGGGTACCCCTGGGGCTGCAGAAACGGGGGCCTGCTGTATCACTGAATCATAGGATGGTTTGTGTTGGAAGGGACCTTAAAGATCATCTATTTACAACTCCCCTGACATGGACAGGGACACGTTCCATCTGCTCAGGTTGCTCTTGTACCATGTCCCTGCTCAGGCAGCAGCACTTCCCTGCCTGTTACCTCCACCTCGGCGCTGACACCGAGACGGGAGCTGCAAATCCATCTCTGTGTGCACAGGCCTTACTCTGATCCCCCCGAAGCCTCTACAAGCCTTCGGGCGGTGGCTCCCAGCAGCTTCAAACAACCGCATTAATCTGCGAGAGCCTCCCCTGTCCCGGCGCGGGGCGGTCGCGGCACAGGGCGCGCAGCGGGGGCCGCCCAGCCGGACTTTTATGGCCACAAAGGCCACCTCGCACCTGCTGACGGTTGTGAATAGACTTGCAGACAGCGCCAGGTGTGCCGCTGCAGCAGATTGCACAACTGGGCGTGCCTTCCGTCTATGTATAGAGCCCCGGAGAGGGGATGGAGCGCGCTCGGCAATTGTCCTAATTTAGCAGAAATCCTATTTGTCCGGCGGGTCGCCCTGCTCGGTCGGCACGTGTATTTCAGGAGCAATTATCTCGGTTGCCCTTGGCCTGGCCCCGGCCGCAGCCCTGTGGGGAGTCGGGAACGGGGCTTTTATGGTCGGCGGGGAGGGATGGTAATGAGGGAGCGGGAAAAGGCAAGCGGCCGCCTGCGAGGGCAGCACTTCCAGCAGCACAGGGAGCATCCCTGCGTGCCCAGGGGAGGAGGGCAGCCGGGACCCCGCGCCCCATCCCTGTGTCTGCCCCCACCAACCTCACGGTGTAATTCAGGTCCTTTACTTACAGTGTCAGGCTTTTAGAGAAGCCGTTTTAATCACATCACTGTTGAGTGCTTAATAACCATGAGACCCGGGAGTAGCTCAGGCCTTGCAGCCGCTTTACAAACAGGGTCGTAAAGAGCAGTAACAAACGAGGCCCATGTGCTTGCAAGGTGCTGGGGACGTCTCTTCTGCCACCTAATAGTGAGCCCGACAGTGACACTGCATTCAAGATTTCATCATTTCATGCTTAATGCATTAGAAGCCTTAGTCATAACTTCGGGTTCATTAGATTATTTTTACATCTCCAAGTCACATCACAGAGGTGACAGAGATGCTCAGATCTGTATCATAAGTGCAGACCACTCGGCTGTACTCAGTGAAAGACACTGATCTCATAGGGACGGTGGGATGAGATCAGATCAGAGTTCTGCAGGCTGGAGCCAGTATTCATTAGCAACAAATGGGGACCCTGCTTGATGCTGAACTGTTCACTCTCCATGGATGTATGTGTGGTGGCACGTCTGAAGGATGAATCTAAAATGCAGACGCAATTTCAAGATTCCATTAGAAGAACTTTTTTCCTGCCCAGGCTTGGCCGATGTATATTGGATTTGCTCTAATTATGATCTTTGAAATGAGCCCTGATGAGAGAAGTGACATCTGAATTGTTCTGGGTTTATTTTTATAAATATGAATCATCTACTGTTTTGGGAAAAAAAAAAGTTCAAGCCCTTTCTCCCACATTCTCAAACCTTCCTAATTACTGACAAAAATCCCCACCAAAATTAACATGGAAAAAGTAAAGGTTGAAGATACGTTTATATTTAATATTGCAAATCCAAACACCAGATACTCCATTGCTTTGTGTACAATTTTCACTATATTGCATCACTGCTGTTTCTGTGGAAAATTCCCAAATTGGGGAAGAAAATGAAAGTAGTCATGTGACTTTCGTTTCTATTTGAGAATTGCATATTGTGTGGACAGCCAGGCAGAGCACAGGGATGGGGTGTAGCATCCCTTGGGGTGTAAAGGCTTCAGAGACACTGCAGTCCTCCAGGTTTTATAGGTGTGTGCCCAGCAGACCCCTGGGGAGGAGTGGACTGGGAGGTGGGGCCAATACTTTTTGTCTGGTCTTTTGGAGAAGTGCTGAGGGACTACTCAGCTCATGCAACTGCCCTCCATCACCATTATCCACAAGTATCCATTGCATAAAGGCAGTCCCAAGGCTGTAGCTTGTATGGGTGAGGTCACCCCAGAGCAAGCGGAGTGTCATCCCTGTGTCCTCACAAGGGCTGTGGATTCCCTGCCCACACACCCCTCCAGGCTGCTGCATCACGTGCCCCTCTCTTCCCACACTGTGACCTCCCACTCTCCTACCTGGGAAGCCTCTGCTGCTGCTCTGGAGGTGGTGGCTCCTCTCTGTCATCCTGCACGGCCCCAGTTCCGGGCTGTAAAGCAACACCTCTTGGGCATGCACAGCTTGCAAGCCCTCCACCCAGCCGAGTGATGGGGGACAACCTTCTGCTGACCAGCAACAGGAGTCTGGGACAGATTTTGGCAAGCCTGGAACTGCCCTTGGGGAAGTTCGGTACATAACAGGGACAGCCACAGTGCCTTGGAGGGGGCAAAATATGTGTGTTTCAAACGGCCCAGCTCAAAGATGTGCAGCCACGGCATGACTGGCTGGCACCAACTGTGTGATGCTCACAGAGATTTTAGGACCTTTGCCCGCTCTCCTCGCTGGGTTTGTCCATGTGCTGTCCCTGGCAGCCCAGGATGTGCACGTTGTGTGGTGGCACAAGAGACCCAGCAGTGGCTGACCTGCCTCCCCAGGGTGCTCTGACAAGCCCAAAACAAATGCAGGTGTTGGGATTTGAAGGCACTTCCAGAGAGGGTAATCCATGAACTGTGTATTTAGTCTGATGAGTCACACTCTGAATGCCCATCACAGACACGGGCATTATTTATTCTATAGACTGTAGTAGTTCATAAAGGGCTCAGCAGCAATCAGGACATACTGTACTAGACAGAGCAGTGGAGACCCCACCTTAAAACACCTTCCAATGTAAATACATCAGACAGACAGAATTTATTTGCCTCTCACAATAACTCAGCCCTTGACTCACCACAGACCCAGTCCAGCTCAACACAGCTGTGCCTGAACTTCCACAAGAAGTGTCTGACTTCACAGACAAAGGCTGCTCCTTCTTCAGTGGCTTTCCAAGGACCTTTCCTCCCAGTCAGCAGAAGAACCAGCAAGTAGCAGTTCTAAAAGCGTTTTCTAAAAAACCCACATTATTTATTTATACACCTATTTAGACATGCAGTGATTTAAAATCAGCCACTGGACACCATCAGGCACCTGATGTGCTGCATTTATTCCAGGTGCTAAATTCAAGTTTGCACATTTGCAGTCCTCATCTTCTAAACACACTTAGCACCTCAGTACTCCTGGAGGCACATACAATGTAGGCATGTTGATTAAATCAGTGAATAACATAAACCAGTGCATAATTAAATTGACAGACTCAATTCTCTTTCATTCATGCTCATAACAGTTTCACATGACAAATAGTTCACATCTAAACTATGCTGATAGAAGACCTAATATACATTCTAATTAGGCCACTTCATTAAATCAAATTGTGTTGCTCAGTACGTCTGTGCAGGTTGCACAGGCTTCCATGTAAACTGCACAAATCATGATAAAATCACAATAAAGCACTTCCAATCATTAGATTCCAAGAAGTGTTATCTGAGGGGTAAGTTCCATTCTTCCAATTTGGGTGATAAGGAAACTGAGACCTCAGAGAAATCACTTGTAGTACTCACCTCTGAGTCAAATTAAAAGAATTTGGCCTCTCTAGTCCTGGTCTAGAGGACAAAGTTTGATCTAATTAATCAAGTATTACCCATAAAGCAAACAAAGGAGCATGTGTTCCAGCAGAAGCCCCCATCCTTCACCCCTCTATCACCATCACTGCTGATCAGCATTGTAGTGGGAACAAACAGAAGCACATAATCTTACAGCTGCTCTATTGTCAAAATGACACGATAGCAGAAGGATTTACAGACGTGTTTGCTTATGATAAAGGTTTGCATGTTCAGAAATGCAAACGCCTCTTCTGCACAGCAGCTACACTCCGCAGAGAAAGCTGCTCCCTGAAAGCTGTGCAGAACTCAGGAACGCAGTTAGGGTATCTGTCACTATTCAGGTTTGCTGCTTCCCTCCAAAAAATATCAAAAACTGCAGTGAATACACAGCTGCCAGTATGTACAGACCACGGTGACAGGCTTGTGTGGCAGCCACAGCGAGGGCCTGAGCAGCTCTTCAGAACAGTGCTGTGAAAAAGGAGAACTGGACACATTTACTTAACCTTTGCACAAGAATCAGCATTTGCCTCTCAAAGGCAAATCGTGGCCCCACCGATGCCAGTAAGTGTTTTGCTAATAATGGAGATTGGGTCAGGATTTTAATTCAGATTTTACTTCCAAATTTATTTCAAGAAATATTTGCTCTGTGAGAAGTTGAGCTGATGGAGGCAGGAAGATTTGCAGCTTTCTGTATCCACAGAACCAGCAGGAAAGCTTTTCTCAAGATCACAGTGCTTTACTTTTTTGGTAGTTTGGGTGCTATGTTGTTTTGGAACCACGTGAAGCTGAAGATGACACCCATTGTCTTCGGGAAAGTCTCATCATAAGCAAACTTCATGGATTCTTCCAAAGGTATTTCCACAACTTCAATCAGCTCTCCTTCCTCGGGCTGGCCACCTCCTCCACTGGTTCTCATCTGGTCTGTTACTTCTACATAAAACAGTGTCTGCCTAGAACCCGTCAGACCAACACCAGACCTGGAAAAAAGAGGAGAGGAAACTCTGTTTTAGATAAAAAGAAGGCAGCAAGGATGGAAACCTGGGTCCTTAACATGTGTCACTAAACAACATCAAAATGCATGTCCTTACTCTCTGCTAATGTCAATTAGAACCTCTAGTTGCAATTCTGTTAAGACAGGAATTGATTGCAGCTTTCATGCAGAAATTCCAACACTTCTGAATACAGCTGGATATGAAATGGATCCGTCTTCAAATGTATTCTACAACTTTGGAAAAATGTGAGTTTGGGAGAAAATAAAAAAAAAAAAACAATTTTGTATTGGTGAACTGTTGTTCTACATATACTGAAGAGAAGTTTTTTCAGCTGACCTCAGGGAGAGCAGAACTGCAGGATGACTCACAGAGATGCACAAACAACAGGACGAAGCTCCCCCAGAGTATCTGTGTGCTATCGTGCTACATTTGTTTGCCTGTTTTTACACAAATATTTAGATTTTTTACTCTTAAGAAGATTATGTCCATTCACAGCTGGAGTCCTCCGCTCATGGACTGCATAGGTACAAGGGCAGAAAGGCAGTCTGAGACTCTATCCTTTCTGAACTTTAGCCTTGACCCAAATGGACCACTGTAAGCACGCACATATCCCAAGTAATTCAGTCTCCCTGCTAAATTTGCTTCAGTGGATTTAGTTGAGGATATTTTAGATTATGTAGTCTTTCTTCAGCTAGACTGCTTTCTGTGTATTATACTTCTTACTTGTTAATCCTCCATTTCCTTAGGACTATTTAATTTAGGTATTATTAAATAAGGGATAAGAACATAATCCACTCATTTAGTCCTTCCAAGAAAATATTCACATTATAATCACAACTTCTTCATTTCACATGATTACCAGTGACTTTTCACATTAAATCTGGATCCAAAGTTCACTGAAACTATGAATGAGGTGTTAGGACAAGCTGAAAAATTAGCTTCCATATTATTACACATACAGAGGATTCTATGATCTGTAGCAGTGTTATGATCTTAAGAGCATATATCCAGACTTACCCAACCATTAGTCAACTAAATCTTTCAGTTAATCCAGCACACATCACACCCCACAGCAGGAATTAATCATTTGTCTCTCAATTTTCTAAGAACACTGGCAATTATTTTGTTTGGAGGATTAATAGTGACTATTGAAGCTGGTTTATTGCATCGATATAGACTCATTTGGGTTTTTTTTTAATACTGAGTAGGGAGCATACCAGTGAATTTATTTCCTAAAATTATTTCTGATACATTCTGTAACATTGGACAAGAGGTTTTAGCCCTTCAGGATCCTTCCTGAACATTTGAGAAGTGAAACTTAACCATCCTCGGCACTTCCAGGAACTCTGAAGGCTGCTATGGGACTTCTTTCATTCTGGGCTCATCATTTTATTCCAATGCCAGTGGTGGGATTTTTGATACATGTTTTAAACAATGAAATGTGACCTCCTAGGATACAGCAGCGGGTGAGATGTCTCTGCCGCTTCACCAAACCACACGATCTCCTTCCTCAGTCAATCTGATTCCATATTTACTTTCCCTAAGGACCTCTCTCCTGCAGCCACTGTCCTTGGTATTTGTGCTCTGTTCTGACAACCGTCAGAGATGGTTTGCCAACAAAAGATCCATCCAGGGCTGACCACTGACCCATGTGCTGCCTGCTCCTCACTATCACAGCTACGACCACTGGAAGGAGTCTCCCTGAGAGAACGTATTTGTGATGGAATTTGTGATGAATTTGTTCATTTTTTGTTGCCTCTTTTCCTTCTTCTTTTCTTGTGTGAGAAGGTAGAGAGGCTTTTTATTTTTGTAATCAACTAGAGATCCAGATCTGTTTTTCTCTGTATACAGTGATTACTCATTATTCTTTTTTTTTCTACAAGAATTGCATTTTTAGTAATTAAATAAACACAGGAAACCTGGAGTTCAGAGATTGTTTTTTGATACTTGATAGTAAGAATAAAAACCACATGTACTGTAAAATTTTCAAGACAAAGAATGCAGCTTGGTGGTCTCCACAGGTACCATAAAACACACAGGACTGAGCATAATATATTTAATGTTCTGTTATTTCTGATGAGTGTCAAGTCTGAGCTTCATCTGGGGTGTCCCATCTGGAGAATGAAAATGATCCTAAATTGAGTGCTTCTATGTCCACTTGATATTAAATAAAGGTTATATACAAAAACATAGAGACTTTTTTTAAGAAGCCCTTCTTTGAGAATGTTCTGGCTTGATTATTTACAGCATAATCTCCTTCCATACCACCTGTGACCATTTACTTATGAAATAGTTGCAGCTGTGGAAATCACAGGAGTTCACCTTCTATACATTTTTTCTTTAAAGTAAATGGAAACTGCTTCCCAAGGTGCTACACTGTAAGATTCAGATTCTTGCCACCACAGCTCAAATAGCACAGAGTGATTTCCATATGCTGTTATTTCATTGTATTTATTCACATGATACTTGTATTAAATCAGTGTTTCTCTTCTTATTAACTAAATACATCAGGAGTGGCTACTACCCTGAATATACTTTAAAAAATGAAAGCCCTGGACATCAATATCTTCCCTTTGTTATGATGCCCAAAGTTACGGCATTTCTTCATGTATATATGTTGCACATAATTTGCAACAGAAATCAACAGGAGAATTGTAACAATATACATTCAAAGGATGACATAGCCACATGACCATTTTTTTTTTACTTGATTATCTAACTTATCTTCCTCTGGTGCAACTCTACCATAAGGTATTAATTAAAAACTAATAAAAATTTCCAAATGAGCTATAAATAAAATCAATGCTGGTATTTATACTCATGTCATTCTATCCTACTCTTTCCTCCTAAAACCAGCAAATCTAACATCTCTAAGACTACTTAGAATCCCTTCACCATTTAGATGGTGACTTTGCAAATTGTTGCATGACATTATTTATAAACATATTCACTGCTTTTATTTATTGTCTAACTAAACTCCCTCAAGGGAGTCGACAGCTCCTCCTAATTTGATGACACTAAACTGAGAGGAGTTGACGACTCCCTTGAGGGCAGAGAGTCCTCAGCAAATCAGAGGGATGGGCTATCACCAACTGTATGAAGCTGAACAAGGGCAAGTGCTGGATTCTGCACCTGGGATGGGGCAACCCTGGCTGTGTGTACAGACTGGGGAACAAGAGGCTGGAGAGAAACCCTGAGGAAAGGGACGTGGGGGGTCCTGGTCAATGACAACCTGATTATGAGTCAGCAGTGCCCTGGCAGCCAGGAGGGCCAACTGTGTCCTGGGGGCATCAGGAAAAGCATCACCAGCTGGTCAGGGGAAGGGATTGTCTCACTCTGCTCTGCTCTGCACTGGTGCAGCCTCACCTTGAATATTGTGTGCAGGTTTGGGCACCACAATATAAAAAAGATACAAAGCTATTAAAGAGTGTCCAAAGGAGGGCAACAAAGATGGTGAAGGGTCTGGAGGGGAAGCCGTGTGAGGAGCAGCTGAGGTCACTTGGTTTGTTCAGCCTGGAGAAGAGGAGACTGAGGAGAGGCCTCATTTGGGTCTTCCACATCCTCATGAGGGGAGGTGGAGGAGCAGACACTGATTCCTTCTCTTTGGCGACCAGTGACAAGACCCAAGGAAACAGCATGAAACTGAATCAGGGGAGATATAGGTTGGATATCAGAAAAAGATTATTCACCCCAAGGGTGGTTGGGCACTGGAACAGGCTCCCCAGGGCAGTGGTCACAGCACCAAGCCTGACAGAGTTCAAGAAGTGTTTGGAGAACACTCTCAGGCACATGGTGTGACTCTTGGGATGTCCTGTACAGGGCCAGGAGCTGGACTCGATGATTCTTGTGGGTCCCTTCCAATCCAGCATATTCCATGATTCTATGATTCTAAAAGTCCATTTCAATGGTTTCAGAAAGAAGTTGAAAGATGCAGAAATATGCTTGAATCCATAAAGGAGGCATATTTCTTAACGTTTTTTACTTGGTATTTCTTTCTATGGATGCTTTGTCTTACACTGCCAGTTGATCATTTTTGCATAGATCCACATGGAATGCCCTTTACTAAATTAAATGTTCTCCAATATTCCTTACTGCTTTGACGACATTTCCAGACTCTTAATGTATGCTGCTTGTCCTTAGAAAATTGCCCAAAAATCAATGCTATTCACATTTCATCTGTATTAGTACCTTTGGTTTTTACAGAAATCAAAAGTTAGGTTTGTTGTTTTGAAGCTCTTCTGGTTGGAGCAATAAAGTATTTTAACACACCCCCTTGGAAAACATCATACATTTCAGGTGATTTTGGATACTGGGGCAGAGGTGGAAGAGAGCAGAGAGGGAGAAGGTGGGTCTGCCTGGTAAATAGGCTACAGGCACTATGATGATTGTGCTGTGCTTTCAGGTTTATCTGCCACTATGAACTTCCTATGCTTTTGTACAACTACTTGCACTTTTTGAATATGATGTTTAAGGAATTTTGTTGTGCCTTTAATAATGGCTATATTCCTTTTTCTGCTACCATCTTCCCTGTCACAAGTCTGTGCCACATGCTTTTCCTTACCCCAGTATTTCACACTACAAATAAAATGCTTTTGCCGTGGTCTGAAATGAGTCACCTATTAACAGATTACAGCTGTATTCATTAGCTCTGCATCTGTGGAAATCACAGGGGTCAGCACACCCGAACTGCAAGGGATGAGTTTCACCCTGGGAAAACCACCTTCCCGATAAAGGTGCCTTCCCAGGACAAGACAGGCTTGGCTTGGGGGAGGGTGAGCAGGGTCTGAACTCACAGCACCAGCCCATGGTGAGAGTTTGGGCTTCAGTGTCAGTCTGAAGTTTAGCACTGCACTGCCCAAACCCAGCACGTCGTGGCTCATACTGACCCAGACCTACTAAGCCTGGCTTGACCTAGCTGATTGTTCCAGATGTATTTTGATGTGTCTGTACAGTACTTGGCTCCAATTTACCACTGTGGGACAAAT